TGCGAGAGGTACATTTATTACAATTTTTTTCATTAATTATTATAAAAAATAAAAATTAATTCTAATTTTTAATCATTTAATTAAAAATATTTACACGAGGACATTGGTACGTAGATGAAAATAAAATTAACTTTTTAATGAGAAAAAATGTTATTAATGCACCTTGAGGGGGCGGGTTAGGAAAATTCACTTTTGAATGAGGGAGTGGGGGAGTAGGAGATTAAACCAGTCAAGCGACAGATAGATGAGAGAGAGAAAAAAAAAGTTTGTAGTTGAAGGTTGATGTAAATAATGGTATTATTATTTTTATTAAAGTAAAAGAATCATGATTAAAATAAGGATTTGTTTAATTTATATTTTTAGGATGAACAATGATTGATACACATTTTAATTTAACACATTATGTGACACATTTATTAAAAAATTATTATTTTTTAATATGAAATTAAAGATAGTCAAATTTAATAATATAATTATGCACACAGATTGAATCGGTTAAATTGATTTAACACATTATGTGACACATTTATTAAAAAATTATTATTTTTTAATATGAAATTAAATATAGTCAAATTTAATAATATAATTATGCACACAGATTGAATCGGTTAAATTGATTGTATTTATATTATATTTTTAATGATTAAATCGAAAGTTTGTAAAAAAATGTGTTGAACAAGTGTATACCAATCATTTTCTTTTTAAGATATAGATTAAAGAGGTTAAGAATATTTTTTTTAGTATTAATTGTTATTAAAAAATAAAAATTAACTTTTATTGAATTAATTATTTAATTAAAATTATTCACAGGTCATAAGTGATGAATTTATTTTTTTTATGAAGCATAAGTAATAAAATTAGTATTAAGTTTTATCATTATTAATATTAATTAATGTTAAAAAGGTATACAAGTTAGAAAAACTCAAGTAAAAAAAATCATTGTTGAAAGTATTTTTCTACCATCCACTCTTAAGTAGAGATTAAAGGCATTTTTTTTATTCATAAATGTATATATAAAAATATAAAAGTTTACATTAATTTTTATATTGGTGCAAAGTGAATGAATTTAATTGTATGTATAGTTAAAAAATTAAAAATTAATTTCTACATTGCTAATACAAATCTATGACAAAAATATATATTTATTACATTTTTAAGGTATAAATTAAAAAAATTCTCATTGAAATAGTTACAAATTCAGTAAAAGTATACCTCATTACTTAGGCTTTGATACCTTAATTAATGCTTCCTAACATGTGCCTGTAAGCACATGTTAGAAATTTCAATTTTTATAAAATATCTTCAACATTGTGCCTAAATAATTAACCTTGGTAAAGAGACAAGAAAGTTTAAACTTATCAATGGTAATCTTTTTAGAAGAGGTGTTTGGTTTGAGGAAATTAAACATCTTAATGGTAATCTTTAGAAAAAGTGTTTGGTTCGGGGAAATTTACTTTCTTAAATTTTTTTTAACTTATATTTTTTTATATTAATATTACAATAAAAAAATAAAAATGACTTTTTTAGCATTTTTTTAATATAATTTTTAATTAGTAAACTTTTCTTCTAACACATTTTAAAAAAAAACTAAGTTTTCTCTAATATTTTCTAGGTAGGATGTATTTGATGACCATTTTACTAACCCTTTTTATACTAATTTCTTACTAAATATAAAAAGATAAATAATTAATAAAATTTTCTTATAAAATTATTAAATTTTTGTATAAAATTTATCAACCTATGTAGCATTTTTTCGATAAAAACTTTCTTCTCCTCAAATGTCCCTTCTAATAAAAATTTCAATAAAAACAAGAGGTAGTTAAATTCCAGTCTTGTCCACGTGAATGCTTTGGATATAGAAAAAGGAAGTGGTTCACGTTGTGCCATCAAAAAAAAAAAAAAGGAGTGGAATCATTGCGTCGAGAGACTACCTTGCCTAACAGTTCATAATGGGTCCAGGTCTTAAGTTCTACTTTACTGGTCCACTTCATTAGGCCCTGAGCTAAGTCCATTAGGCTTATATGGGCCGACTTTTCGCCCCAAGTTTTCCCATCAGGCCCACATCAATTTTGGCGTGAAATTCGTCCGCCGTTTCCCGCCAGAATCCTTAACTCTTTCTTTCTTCTCCGCTCCCTCTCTCTTCGCCTTCAATCCATAATCTCTCTACAGCCATGCCTTCCAACTCATTCTCGGCAACTTCTTCACCGATGACTTTTAAGTCCACATACTTATCATCATTATATCTTTATACAATTGTGATTGCACAAATTAATTTTTTAGTTCAACTTGTCAAATTTTGCAATTTGAAGTAGATTAATTTGTAGATTTAAAGATAAATCTTAAAGTAAACACTTTAACATATAAGTTAATAATATAAGTATTTGTAAAGCAAACATTTTAATACATAAGTTAACAATATAAGTATAAGTTAACAATATAAGTATATTCGGTAATCTAAATTAACAAAGAAAAGGCTAGAAATGCTAAAAGTTCTTGACCCTTAAAGTATTTATAGAGATGGGATGAGGAACTTGTGGCCTACTTGGAGTGATTTGCGGATTATGGAGGTGGAACACTAGGAGTGATTTGCCGGGTCCTATGTTCCATGTGCCATGCATGCAAGCATCCCATACAATTGGGATTTGAGACTAACGGTTGAAGTGCTCACATCGGCCTAACGCGGTTCGTATCAATGGCAATTAACAAGCAGTTCGGACGTATCCTCTCGCGCTAATATTTGAATTTCTCCACGTAATGATTGTATCTATTTTTAAAAATTTATTATTTTATAATTTAAATTATATCATACTATAAAACAAATCTTATTAGATGAGAAAGAAAGCTCACAATATAAAGAGTTTTTTTTTTATTTAATTATTTATATTTTATAATTTAATACAATTTAAATTATAAAAAAAATATTTTTGTATTTTAAAAAAGAAGCATTGCCTTTTAATAAGGTAACTCTGAATATGGAAATTTTGCCAGTGAGGAAAGGTTTATGAGGTAGGGCCCAAAATGGTTTTTCAAAGTTTCAAATTTTCAATATATGTAAATGGCTTTTTTTTTTTTTTTGAGAAATATCATTTAAATTTAAGATTTTTTACTCTCACTTAAAA